CCCCCCCCCCCGACACGCCGAACGCCGCCGCCGTGCTCATGATGCGAGAGGTTCCGGGCGTCGCGCCGTCCGGCCGAGGACGGTCGGCGGCGGCGGTGGCGGCACCGGGCGATGCTGCCCCGCTTGTTGCGAAATGTCCCACGGGGTCGTTGTCGGTAGCCAGCGGCGGCGCTGCCGCGGCGGGTAACGGGGCCGGGTCGGCCTTGGCGGGGACCTTGAAAGGCGCCGGGTTCGATCGCGCCATGAGGGACCACGACGACGTGGGTGCGTCCGCGTGGGCTGTTGCCAGCGCCGCAGTTGCTGCCGGAGGGAGGAAGGGGGAAGAGGTGCTAGCGGCAGCGGCGGCTGGGGCGGCGGCAGGTACCGGTCCGCTCTTCCCCCCTCCCAGGGAGGGGAAGTCGTCCGCGCTGAAGGGTGCGCTTGCTGTGGTGGCAGCGTCTTCCGACTTTGCTTTTTCCGCGCCGTCGCCCTCCGGCTCCCACTCATCATCGTCACCAGCGTCGTCGCCATCCTCCTCCTCCTCCACCTCCTCCTCCTCCTCTCCGTCGCCGTTTGAGGCGCTACCGCCGTCGCTACCCTCGCTTTCTCCTTCGTCCTCGTCGTTCTCGTTCTCCGCCGCCGGGCCATGCCCGTCGCCAGCGGTGCCAACATCGTTCGTCCAAGCCTGCTTTACCGCGGTACACAGAGACTCCACCTCTCCCGCCGCCTCCTTCTCCTTTCGTCCTATCGCTGTTGCTGCTGGGGTATCGGGTTCTCGCTCGCTGGGCTTTCCACTGTCAGCAGTAGCAGCAGCAGCAGCAGTATTTACATCACCTGTCGTCGTCGTCGCGTCTTTGAGGGCGGCATCCGCAAAAACTTTCGCGGAAGTTTCTTCTGTGGCGTCGTTCGCCGGCGCCAGAGTTGGTGCACTGACCCCCTTGGGGTTACTGTTGACCTTGGTACCCTACGTGGTGAGGGAGATAGCGCAGACGTGAGTTGTAAATGTAGAGCAAAAACGTACGTCCGAGTACGTGCAGTGTAGAAAAAGGCCAAGGAAGATGGTTGATCAAGACATACGTCCGAGTACGTGCAGTTTAAAAAAAGGCCAAGGTAGATAGTTGATCAGTACAGGGACAATGTTCCGACATGAGGCCGTCAAATAGCCTCGCCCAAGTGTCTGAAGAAGCCACAGCTGGATCAGGGGCCCCATGGCAGTAGAGAGGGTATACGGTACAGTACGGGTATACGGTACAATACGGCACTTCGGTACACAGGGCGATCAATCCGAATCCGAATGCGAGAGCTTTCATTGGGAAGAACTATTGTGATTTGATAGGTAGCGGTTGGTATAAAGAATGTTCAAATGACGGTTCTTCGATTCCTCTCGAGTTAACTACCACCTCCTTGCATGGTTCACACGATTCATTGACTCGTCGAGGGGCTTGAGAAAATGAAAGAAGCTGGTCGATTGATGAAATCGTTTCGTTGAGAGTTCACCGGTCGAATGGGCGCCGTACGCAGGTGCACCGCCCCGGTCTCTTGCCTCTCCAGCATGTACGCTAGGGCGATGACCTTGAGATCCACGCGCGACAGCGACCGCAAGTCGCCCGTCTGCCGCGCGAAGCTTGCCGCTGCAAGGACAGACCCGCCGGGGAGAACAATCAAAGAGCGCATGAAGCTTGTTTAGACCTAGCAGACGGTAGGTACGGGGGAAAGCGATGCCGAGACCGCTGATCGAGGATGGCAGGACCGCCAGGGGGCAACAGAAAGCTCGGTTGGCGTACACTGCTGACGACATACACAACACAGCAGAGAAGTAGTGGTGGCTATATGACTGAACTGCAGTCCTTTTGAAACCGACCCGTGTCTTTCTTGCCCCATCAACTGACAGCTGACACCGCGTCCGAGGAGGATACCAATACTGCATGTAGGTTTCGTTTGTGGGATTAACACTGACCGGCTCGTTGGTTGGTACGGCAGGTCAAGCAACCGAGCTAGCTGCGGAGATGCGCCGACAGTGGCAGCGGTGCCAGTCGCACAGCCGAGGCTGGGCATCGCTCACGATTGGCACACGAGCGCATCCCAATCGTTGCGTTGCGATCTTACTGTTATCAATAAAACACAACAAAATTCCCTTGCACTTTGTGTGTGTTTTTTTTATTAGCATCGACCGCGCTAACCGGCTGACCAATGAAAAGACGTCAGTCTCAGTGCGGTTGAGTGTGACGGACGGTGTTGAGTTTCGCCGCACTTCGGACCTTGTCCGTCCCCCCAGCAGCCCAGACCAATTGCCTGCTGCTCCTGCGTGGACTACTCAGCCAATGCAATGTAGGCCATGTACTGCTGTGACCTGGTACATGCACCAGCAGTCATGAGGGCGCCCATGTCTGCCTCGTCATGCGGGTGGTGCTTCCTCACCGACTCACCGAATTTCATGGCCTCGTCGGAGGGCTCCCTCAGCTTGAGCTCGAACGGCAGGGATTCCAGATGTTGGCGAGCTTTCTTGTCCCTGATCTCAGCAACCACCTCCGGAATGGTCCAGAAGTTCTGAGGAGACATATGACACGTCGGAGAGCAGGTGGCGTGGGGTGGTGGCATGGAGTCTACGAAAAGAGCTCGGCGCACGATGATCGTACAGGGAAGCTGCTGTCCTTCGTACAGGGCACGTCGTGCGTGTGTTGCATATATTGTTGCTACGACCGCACGGATGAAGCGCGTACAAACAGGAGTTATACCAGCGAGACCAGTTTCGGCCGTGATATACACTGAAGGTGGAGATGGGTCACTAGCAAAACAGCCTAGCAAGCAAGCACAGTAGGTACAGTAGATTCAACACGCGCCCACCGCCACCGAATCGGACAGCCCAAAAAATCAAATTGAATTTTTACTCCTCACCTCAGCGGCCGACGCAAGGGTCATCCCAGCACCTTTGATGATAGCTCCGGAGTCGATCACTAGATGGGTTAGCCTCTGATCGCCAGCTGCTGGGGCCGGGGATGGGCCAGCACCACCGGCGTATGGGTTCTTCTTGCCGCTGCCCTTGCGCTGGGTGTCGGGGGCTTTGCGAGGCGGCGCAACTACCGTTGTGAATGTCGCCGCATCTGCTGTGTCTGCCACGACGCCGACCGTCCCGCTAGGAGAAGCATGAGGAACAGGAGGGGAAGTCGACGAGGATGGTAATGGTTGGGCCATGTTGAGCTCGGTGCTCGCTTGTGCGTTCGGCTTCTCTCTGCTTTGGTTCATGTCATGTGCGGCGGCTGTTGGGGGAGACGTGATTTGGAATCCATGAACTGGGTATGCCAGTGCGGAGCAAACGACGAACATTAAACCACGGACACGGACCCACACGCAAGGCAGATGCCACACCGCATCCATTATACACCCAGCTTGAGCATAGAACAATGCTCGCTCTCACGGGCATAGAGCGGTCCTATGCGTCGGCTATCGGACAGACGATGCACAACCTGACCGTCCAGGCCGAGGTCGGGTCCGTGATGGAAGGCATGCTGGGCGACCTCGAGGCGTGGGAGTGGGCCAACAAGGAAGAGGTGCTCAAGAAGGAGCTGGAGCACGCGAGGGCGCAGGTGCAGGCGCTGAAGGACTCGGAGAGGGCTCTCCTTGAGGTGAGGTGATGATGGGGAGGTCATTTTACGGCAGTAGTCGGGACATGGTGTTGTAGAAAGAATGGGTGGTACTGCTGTGAAGGGAGCCGAAATACTCCCGATAAATCGTACATGCCGCAAGGCAGGGTCGTGAACTCTATTGTCAGTAACGAAGTCGGTGTGTAGCACTGCTGCTGCTGCTGCTGCTGTCTCGGCCCCGTTGGGCAAGTCCGTGTACCCGGTGAACCTTAGGATACGCGTGTGCCCAGCATCGACCGCTTGCGGGATTACAGCGCGCTGCACAGCTCCTGTTGAGTTCCAAAGCGAAGGAAGCAGTTGACTGGAAATATGACACCCACAGCGGCTACAGTCCTACACAGCAGCAGATGTAGGAATGACCATGGCGACGGACCGCGATCACGTACATGTACTCATGGAGGACCTACCGAGAACAGACCCACCCGGTACACGATGGGCCTGGCCCACGGTATCTCTGGTGCGCGCGATTAGTAAATGAAAAGGTGCACATGGAGCACCACCCCCCAAAAAAAAGAATTGCAGGGGGTTGCTGCCTTCAATTCGAAAGCCGTACAATATCGCGTAGCGGTGGCTGGTCAGTTACCTTCGATAGCAGGTCCAACTCACGCGGACGCCTTCCCGTGGTCACAGCGGTACTGCTGTAGTCCGATTTAACGATTAAACCCAAAAAGGTACACGCTACCTGCACGAAAACCAAAGGTTGGTAAATAAAAAGGGCCCAGAAAAAACAACACGAACGCGATAACGACGGACAATGGAGCCCACGACAGGCCAGACGTCGCCAGCGACATGTTGGGCAAGGGAGTTGAGTGAAGCACGGTTGCACTGCTGTATTGGGTAAGCGTCGTGCTCGCAACATTGATCACAACCCACAAGATAAAATAGATTGGATCAACACAGGACATGAACAATTTGCCGGTGCGTTGCAGGGCTATCGTAGGACCCGTGGTGGAGCCGAAACGGTTCAGTTTAGGTACGCCCCTACGGCCAGTGGTGCAAATGACGCCTCTGTACCACGGGAGTCTCAGGGTGGACCTTGTCAAAAAAAAAATGTTGCATCGAAAATCGAAATCGAAATTAGATTTTGATTTTCGATTTCGGGTTGGCTCTACACAGCGCAGGCGGGGAATCGAAATCGAAAATCAACCTGGAAGAGGCGAACAAGGCCCGTGCATGCCAGTTGCGATGATTCAAACCTTAACCATGAGAGCCACACGGCACCCAGAGACAGCGAACGATAGCTCCGAACAACGGCCATGATCAGGCGGGTTGGGGGATCTTTGTCTCGCATCGATACGCTTCGAACTCGGCGAGCAATGTGTGATTGAATGCTGCGTGTCGATGTAGGAAAGCCAAAATAGCTGCCGTTGAACTGCGTTTAAGAAGAAAGAATTTCACGGCGATGACTCTCTCTCCCTCAGCTTAGAGCAGATCTCGCTCAAAGAAAGTATACCGTGCTCTGCTGGATGTCAGCTTTCTGTCAATCTCTTGCTTGCATCACCAAGCAATCTGTAGGTGGCTAGACGAGTATTGAAGTGGAAGGGTGTACGATTCTGTGAGGGTGTGGCAGCTAGCTTGATGTTCCGGTTGGCATTTTCCATTTTCGAGTTCGAGTCTGTTCGTGCTTGCTTTTGATTTTTCCAAATCGGAGAATATTCGGAACACTTACCCCCAAATCGAAAACCGGCGGCGGAACACTGGAGCTCTGTCCAATCAGTGACATTTTCGATTTTCGATTTTCGATTTTTGACCGAATGGTGGTCTGACAAGGTCCACCCTCAGGTACCCCACGAGCCCTGGATCTCGCCCTACACAGGACTCGTTTCGACACGCAAACACCGTGGTTGGAGTGCGTGGTTCAAAACGCGCACAGCGGACAGCAGCTGAGGGGGGCGATAAGTACAACAATATACCTCCGCACCCTCCCAATCACGTCAATTTGAAACCCGAACACTGCCTTGTTTCTTCTTGCAGATAACAAGGGTGCAAATAGCAATACAACCGCGCAGCACCTGGGCCCGTTTGCGAAATCGCCCGCCCAAAGTCCGCAGCCCACGGCACCAATTTACCTCGGCGAGACTGATGGCGAACCCTCACGGTCGAACGCCATTCACAGGCTAAATCTCTAGATAATTACCTTAGGTGACCCAATAAAATCGAAGAAGACGTTCAGCCTGTGAATGGCCTTCGAACGTGAGGGCTCGACGTCTGTCTCGGCGCTTTTTGCCGTTGCCGCGGGTAGCGGACTTTGGGCGGGTGGTTTCGTCAGCGGGCTCACGTGCTGCGCCATACTGCTGTTGCGTGCAAGAAGAACAAAACAGTTGTGTTCGGGTTTCCACTCGGTTGGAGCTGTGCTTGTAGGATTTTTTTTTTTAACTTGTACTGTGCGTGCTTTAGCCACACAGTTCCACCACGATACTTGTGTGTCAATTCCTTGTATTGTACTGCAGGGCGAGGTACGTAAGGCGCGTTTACCCACCGATGGGGTTGGTACCCGTACCGAATGAATAACTACATAAAGTCGATCGCTCCCGCTCGGCAGCGGTTCGCTGGGCTCTTCGAGGCTAAACACGTTAGATGTGTGGGCTTTGATCGAGCCTGGAAAGCGTCACGGCTGGCAGCCAGCTTTTCAAGCGCTCTTCTTTTTCCACCCCTTGGATGACACTGCTGTCTGCTGTTCTCTCATGAGCCCACCCCGGAGGGCAGGCACCCTTGTGTACAACACAGACTCGACTGCCCCCCTCCCCCCCCCTCCCCCGCTGCTGACCGCCGTGTGTCCGACGCACGAAACAACAGCGTGAGAAGCTTGCGTCGGCGAGGCTAGAAGAGGAGAGGGCGACCGCGCGCGACGTGCGAGGAAAGTTCGTGGAGGAGCTGTGGGGGCTGGCGCGCGAGTTCCGGATACGAGAGCAGGAGCAGGCGAAGGCGGACCAGCTCCGGAAGAAGCTCGCCCGCTTGGAAGGGGTCGAGACCGACCTGCGGGAGGCAGAAAGGTGCAGAACAGCTCACACAGCGTAGGAAATGTGGTACGCGCAAAGGGTGATCGTCGGGAAAAGGTACACACGAGAGAGAAGTCGTCGGAAAAGGTACACACAAGCGCGATCGTCGGAATGATGCACGCAAACTTCATCCTCAGAAAGGTACACACAAGCGTGATCGTCAAAAGGTACACACAAGTGATCATCGTGTGTTTACTTTGCGTTTTCGCGGAAGAGAGCACAGGTCAGGGTAAAGGCCCCATCGGTTGTTGTACTTTTCACATTTTTTTTAGCATAGTCTATGCACCATGTGATTTGTTCTGCATGCGCATGTGATCAACCACACGCATCAGGTAGGTTCATGTGGAAAGTAAAGGGTGCAGTGTGCTACTGGCCGTGCTCCTGCTGTAGCTGCAGATGTTCTCTTGCAAGGAAAATCCTTGGTGCTCGATCCAATTCCGGATCCTACCTGACCGCAACATGTGTAGCCAGAAATTGTGGAAAAACAGGCTGTCGAACTTCAAGGGCACTATATGGAGCATTGTTGATGCTTCAACTAGCATGGAAAGTTCCGCTTTTCATCTACCGCAACACACCACCCCACAGCAGCACGTTCAGCCGTACCTCCCCCCCCCCCCCCCCCCCCCCCCCCCCCCCCCCCCTCCCCCCCCCCCCCCCCCCCCCCCCCCCCCC